ACATACATACTTGCATACTTGCATACTTGCATACATGCATACATGCAGGCAGGCATAGTGATGCATGTGTGAACATGCACTGTACTTATGAACAAACAAACAGTTGAAGTAAACAGTCAAACACGAATGCCCACAACAACATTCACTGAGTTATGTTGCATGCATTGAAGTACACACACACATGTATGGCTGCATGCATGCATGCATGTATGCACATGAAGCTGTATATGTATGTATGTATGTATGTATGTATGTATGTATGTATGTATGTATGTATGTGTGTGTGTATGTATGTATGTATGTATGCATGCATGCATGCCTGTAGATACGTATGTATGTATGTGTGTTTGTGTATTTGTTTGAGTGTTTTGTTTGTCTTGCTTATTTTGTTTTGTTTGTTCGTTTGTTTGTATGTATGTGCATGTATGTACGCATTCATTATCTCTACATATGTATGTTTGCATGCATACAATGCCATATCGTAAATGTTCGAGCATCTGTTTGGCAGTTTAGTTGCGTTTGATTACTAAAGCTGGGCATCGGACACATACATATCAAGTGTTCGTCAGAGCCTTGTGCCTATGTCTATAAAGAGCAAGCCCTAAAAAGTCAACCCTAAACCCCTAAACCCGTAAACCCTAAACTCTAAACCCCTAAACCCTAAACCCTTAGCCACCAGCATTGACATCCGAATCCTAATCTCTGCTCTAAGGTACTGCTGAGTGAAGATCGCTCCCGCTGCAAGAAGCACTGTCGCTGCTTCGAAGTATCCCGACAGGATACTAAACCTGATCTCAAGGAGAGCTGTCAGGGACTGGGACGTCCTCAACCTTCATTCCATGTCTTACCTTCAGGCGCTTTTAGGGTTGTATGGCTGTAAGATACATGGCGACGCACGTCAACACCTCGAAACCTTGACCTCCGCACCCAGTACACTCGCCATGAGGTCCTAGGCCAAGATCTCGGAGATCTTTCGGGCTAATGCGGGTTTCAGAATTCAGTTTGCAGCATCAGCCCTGGAATCAGGGTTTTTGCCCGAGAATGACCATGCACCCATTTGCGGCCCCTGAACAGTGTGGTCTTGTGATTGCGGTCGAACTGCTTTTGGAATCAACCTGCTTCTTGGGTGTTATCGCGGTGACTTCGGGTTTCAAGCTGCTGCATCCTTGGGTTTTTCTTGAATTTAGGGTGGAGCCACTGGTAGCATTAGCAGAAGCGCTGTTGCAATCATCGAAGCAACCAGTAGCCTACCTCAAACATCTTCAATCACAGGTATTGCTGCTAACATACTACTCTATATCAGTACTGGTGCCTGACGGTTGGCAATTCTGCAACAACTACTGCTGGAACTCTACTACGGCCATGTCTGAAAACAGGCTTCTTTTCATGCTTCACCCAAAGACCCAGGTGGATACCATACCATACCAAAGCATTCTATGCCATGCCATGCCATGCCATGCCATGCCATGCCATGCCATGCCATGCCATGCCATGCCATGCCATGCCATGCCATGCCATGCCATGCCATGGCATGCCCTGTCATGCCATGGCATGCCGTGCCATGCCAGACAGGACTAGACCAGACCAGAACAGACAGGACAAGACCAGCTTGTAACATGCGTAGATACCCTACCTACCGACCTACCTACCAACTTTCCTGCACATACAGACATACATAACTACATACACACTTGCGTACATACATATACATTCATACGTGCATACGTACATACATACATACATACATACATACATACATACATGCATACATACATACACACGTACGTACGTACATGTGTGTATATATATATACACATGTACATACATTCATTACATTACATTACATTACAT